AATAAAACGTCCACAAGAAAGCTTGAACGCCGAAAAACGGAACACAAATTGCTTTTAAAATGTGTTTTATAAAATAGTAAATGAAAATTACATTTTTGTATGTTTGTTAATTCAAAACTTCGTCATGCGTCATTGTAGACCCATTTGGAAAAATTTTCTTCTTCTACACAGTTTTAAATAATAAAAATGTACGGAAATTCGAGTTTTCTCTTATTTTGTCGCAGAATCGTGTCCCCGGGAAAAGTGACCGGCGAGCGTTGTTTGAATAATAAAACAAAATTATCCACAAATCATTTTTATCTAAAACAACACCATGACACAGATAAAACTGAATGAATTCATTTTTTACACCGATGTGACATCGTTTTAACTTTTGCTAATGGTGCTGTTCTAATTAGAGTAGGTGTAGGTAACTTTTTTTCTATTTTCGCCTCTTTCAAAGCTATCTAAGCATTTATTCATTTTATTTGACTGCATTGGCGACCATGTTTCAGGGTACATGTGCGTGGTCGAGTGTTGCCACAATAAATACAAAGCGCATGGTTTCAAACTGTCCCGCACTTTAAATGTAACTTATCGGAGCTTACTGCAACCGCCGACTGCAATTGCCGATATATTTGAAGTTAAATTGGTTAGAAATATAGTAAACTAGCTGACCCGGCGAACTTCGTACCGCCTTAGCGTAGAGATTTTCTTAATATTTTTTTCCGTAAGAACCATCCTTGGACTTCCACAAACATTAAAAAAAAAGAATTATCGAAATCGGTTCAGCCGTTCACACGTGATGCCGTGACAACGCGAAACGGGTTTCATTTTTATATATATAGAAGATATATAGATGTATGAATTTACAGCAAAGAGCAGCGCAATAAATGTAACCATAAAATTGTGAACTCCGTCAGATTATAATCTACGTGGTTAGATTACAATCTCATTTATCCTAAATCACTCTTAGTTTACAATCTCACACGTTATATTATAAACTGACGGAGTTCACTATTTGGTTCTCGTTGACATAAACAAACACCCTAATTACAGTAATTAAAATATGTAATTAAAAATAATGGCAAACTTACAGACACAAATTCTCACCCCCCCAATTACCAATCACATCCCAAAACTTTGCCAGATCAAAGTTCCAGGTCCTCCACCATTAGTTATTCAGAGACCTTCAGAACACACGTACGAATGTCAAGTCCATCAATAATTCTGAGCAATTTGGACCGGTGCTTGAATTCGGCTCACCCTCAACTATTTTAAATAATTAATACTTACTAAGAATATTGTTGGAAATCTGACGACCTTATAAGGGTAGCAGGCAGGCCGCTACCAACCGATTACTTATTTTGGATATCATTGGGAAGAGGCCTATGTTCAGCAGTGGACGTCCTATGGCTGAAATGTTAATGGTGAAGAATATTGCCATTTTATTATATCAACGTAACTCGTAAACTTATGCAATTTGAAAATTAATTAACACTATAATATTTATGAGCACTTATTCTAGTGCAAATGTATGCAGCTAGAGATAACTGCTTTGTTTAAGACACACAGTGACCCAATTAAATGGCTGATCTACATACGGCCATTTGCTAACTGCTGTGAAACACGAAAGGTACACATTTTATTGATAACATTCATAAGTGTCCGGTCAAAATGCTTTTTACTAAAGGCATACAAAAGTTGATACGGTCGTTTATAACTTTTTTTTTTAAGTTTTGTCTGTTTGCTATTGAATTGAGGAGTAAGAATAAGAAAACTTTAAGTAAAATGGGTTACACGAATAAAAACCCCATGAAATTGTGACTAAATCCGTAATGGTATAATAGTACCATTCCAGAAATCCACGCTGAATAAAAACTACTCGTTTTTATAATAGCACAACACAGCCAAATCAAAGGTTTCTATTTTACTTGGCAACAAAATAGGCATTTTTATTTTCACATTGATTTAACATAATATCCGACTATCAAGTAATACTTACGCTTAAGTTAAGTATGTAACAAAACCACTACTTAAACCAACAAATTATAGGCTTAACTCACAACTCCCTAATGTGAGGTTAGGAAAAATAACGTACAATTTCGTTCCATTTCATGTAAACCGAAATTCAATAGGCGATAGTGGTTAAATATTCATAAAAAGTCAAAACGATTTCAGTTTTGTAACTCAAATATTAAAAGCCTCACACACGAGTTTTAGGTTTTAGATTGGTGACGTCATATCTAATTTCAGACATAGTAATAGACTTTAGTCAGTTTAAGTTCGTATAGGTTCACGAAGTGCGTCTAATAACTATGAATTTTTAATCAGTAACGATTTTTAAAATACTGACGTAATTTTANAAACGAGACGTAACAATGCTTACTTCGAAACCAAGTAACTGGATGTTTGTGCCTAATATCTAACTTGAAATAACAAAATGGATGGCTCAGAAATCAGAATTTGATTACCACTCTGATCTCTGAGGAATGAAATTAGTAGAGGTGATTGCCGTCAAACGATAGCAGCCTGTGACTGAAATAATAATGATGATGATGAATTGAAACCGTTGACTGCACTTGACAAGGATTTCATTTTTCTCACCGAGTTCAGTGTGCTTACCATGAGTTAACGTTAGGTGTGCTCGCTAGCGACTGCGTAAAAAAATGACATTAGTTGTATGACATATTGTGCAGCGCCCCTAGCGGCTACTTTCAAGAAACAAAATCTTCATAGATATTTTTGACGTACTCGCTAGCGAGCGCACTTAACATAAACTCATGGTAGGTACACAGAAGTAACCAGGTTAGTATGCAAATTATCAAGCACAAGATGTGACAAATTGCATTCATATATATTAATACCACCAAACTTCATATTTACAGTTCCTCTAAAACTCCCTCATAACGACTCTAAGGCTTGTTGTTGGTTGCTCCATCTTACTTTAACTTTAACAAACGTCAAAATGCTGTCAAATTCCATACAAAAAAACACCGGTTATTGTTTAGTTACTGTTAAACTTTAAAATAAGATGGTGCATTCCAGCCTAAGTAGCTCTTTGCCTTTCAAGTTACTCTTCACGTGTTCGCTAAGTCTACGTTATACACTCGTACGTCTGCGCTGCTAAATAATTCAGGGTACACTCTAAAGAGAGCTTATAACTTTCTTTCATTTCAAACTACTTACGGCGACGATGTTGGTTCAAAATGTTGATACCACGACACGCCTTACATGATAAAGTTCAGAACAAATATGTGCTTTCCTACAAAAGGGGTATTGGAAAAGCTCATAGGATATTTTTACTCAGTTTAGCATTTACTCGTAAATATTTGTAAATACTAAAGCTGTAATTTGTAAAGGAACCGATTCAAAATAAATCAAATTCTAGTATTAAAGGCTATTCTGGAACGATGATCGAATTCTATTTGAACTCTAGCATAGATTGAAAGCACTCTAAATCTAGGGTTGCTTCACTAATAGGCGATAGAAACGGACTATAAACAGAGCCTAAGGTAACAAGAGGTAAGTTAAATGTGACTTTTCACTTTAAATAAATAAACTGAGTTAGGATTTGAAACCTCAACTTTTCCCTTGGCAGTTGACTAATTTTCACGTGAAAATTCATGTTTTTAGAAAAAAAAACCCAATATTATTTTTCACATTAAACTCATATTTATCCCGCTCAAAAAGATTCGAGAAAACAAAATGGATGCAAACATTAAAAGTCGCGGCGCATCTCTTGATTGAACGCCACCGGTATTATTTATTCTGTGCCCCCGTTTGCCCTTTGATGGCCCGATGGATTAGCGGGATCCCTTTGCCAAGATTGGAAGGTTTGAGGACGGAAAATAAATACAAATGAACATCTCCGAGATTTAACGGCGGATCCAATGAATTGGAAGTGCTCAGTCGATTTGTAAGATTAAAGGTGCTATTTTGGATTTTTTAAGAGTGTTTTTTTCAGCCTGCTACGACTGAAGCAACACAGCTGAATCATCCCTAAGTATTCATGCACTGTAAATAGTTGACGCATTTGAGGAACTGGTCTAATTTTATTTAAAGGACGGATCAAAATTATCATTTTCAGTGTACTCATTAAAACCTAGCAGCTAGAACGCCCCTCAATTACATGAAATTAATCCACTTTAATCAAAATTAAATCGACAACACTTTTCTATCACATGGTTTTAATAAATATTAGAATTCGAGTAGGTATCTCCTTCTACAGAATCTTAGTGCAACTCGCACTTAGCCGAATTTTGACAGAGCTGAAGAAGTTACCAAGCGACATCAGAAATAAGAATATAGTTTTTGAAGTAAATATATTATTCACAATGACTTCTCACAACTTTTGCGTGTCACGGAACTCTAGCCAACAGGGGTTAAGTATTATTTATGGACAGAATTTAAAACAACATCGAGCCCGCGTCTTTAATGTGCATAGAAATAAAAGTTAATCTCTATTTTGAATACTAGATGGCGCTGTCTTGAGTTAGCTCGCGGTGTCAAAGTATTTTCCATTTTATAAGTAGTTTAGTCTTTATTAATAAACTCTCTACGCAATTTGACTATTGTTTTATTCCCTAGTTCGTCGTATCCTCGGACAGCAACTGATTATGAGTCATTAGCATAACATTATCGCGTCCTCATATTCATGAGTGGAATATTATTAACGAAGAGGATAATTTAGCGAATTAGAATATTGATAACTAACTACTGGAGTGCATACGCGTTGAATACATAAACGATATGAAACAATTACCTACATGTGGCAAATTATATCGATCCATCACATTAGTCATGTTCGTATTTGGTAGTTTATGATATAATATAATTAACAATCTTTTCAACATTTTTTTAACGTTTAATACATTTATTTCATGAGAATCCGAAACCCATTTTATAGCGATTTGACTCTTGTACTACGAAGTACTAAATGTGTTTCTTTATTATATCCACAAATCATTATACTGAATCTTAAAAGAGGCTGCAAATAAAATAAAATCTTAAACACTTACCGAAACTCGACACGAAGTTAATGTAGGCGAGAATTAGCACCAAAGTTCCAACTGCAACAAAAAACATAAAAATTAAGATGTTGTTGATGTATTATTTTCACTGGCTGATGAAGAAAGTTACAATTTTTATGGTAAATCGCCAGTTTTATAGCTATGTAAAACTCTTATAAAACTCATTTTATTTTTACGCGTCCCAGTGTTAACCCTACCACAACTTAGGGACAATAAATGGGCCAGTGCTGAGAAGTTTGTAAACTAAATATACTTTTAAAACTTTAAAATGTATGTAACGCATAGTATATAAGGCCCACTATCACGCTACATGTAATGTTTTCTATATTTAATAAAACACTTCCATATTTTGTTTTAAGTCAGTATTTTCCACGACCATTAAAATTCTAAGTACACTAAATTGAACGAATCTTCGATTAGTAATTTCTCTACTTTAAACCTCTACGCATGTGGCGTACCTCTCGCGAACATTTTCGCGGGAAACTTGGAGGAGGGACGCGTGCGCCTCCCCTGCCGACCGGATGGGCACTGAGCTTAAAGCTCCCGCAATCAGAAAGTTTGCTGGACATTGAGCTATGAAACTTTGGAGGCCCTATTTGAAGAAAATGATTTGAGCTTATTGCAGGTTAATTGATTTTCATGTTGGTTAGAATTGAATTTAGTTAGAATACTGCAGGAAAAATATATATATAGTTGGACAGAGTAAATGAAAAGAACTACGAAAACTTTTACCTGCTGTGTATTTTCGCTATAAAAAAACTTGTTCTGCTTTAATATTCATTAAAATGTATAGGGCAAGTGACCCGGTTGTGGCCACCGACCCCTTTGTGGCCATTTAGANCTATAAACAGAAGATTTTATTTGAAGTCGGATTGGAATTGGAAATCGGAACCTAGTCTTTGGTACTCGTGTTTGTGCTATTGGGTATGGCACAGCACGTCCAAAACCTTTGAAAATGCAAACTGTATTCGAAAAATAAGCTTATATTTAAAGTATTTTTACTAATCTATCAACCGCTGCATCAATCCATCTCGACACTTAATGGCAGTTTAACCCTGTACACGAAGACTGGTACTCTACAGGTAAGGATATTTCCATGGCCGATTTTAGCGCAAATCCCGCGGGTTCGGATCGGATCCGTGACGCGCGCATTATTGATGGCCTTACAGCGCCGGTCGAGTCGCTCGACACGGGAATCGAACGTGAATTTTGCGCTTAAAATCTATTCGTGGTAAAGTGTTCATGCATTGGAAACTGTGGATGGATTTATGAATAAATAATAAGTACCTTTTTTATTGGGAATGGAAAGTTATAAATAAATTGCTCCAATAACCCAGTAGGAAATAGCGACTTGATAACAAATGATGTCAACGTGAAATTGTGAACTCAGTCAGTTTATAATATAACTCGTGAGATTGTAAATTAACAGTGGGTTTAGGCATAGTACTTAATAATATAGACAGTATTACATACCGTGGTTTAGGCATTGAACTAATATTACTACGTATAGAACAGACATCGCGAACAANTACTAAGGATTACGCAATAATAACCTGTATTACTTTGATGATAGGGTCGGAAATCGTGTAATTTATAAAATACTAGGTGGATCAAGTATTTAAAAAATTGGAATAGGTGCCGCTAGTGTGTGGATCTGTTCTAGTAAATACGTCTCACTCATCTCTACCGACGACCTTATAAAGGTAGCAGGAAGGTGCTGGATGCAGGCTGCTACCAACCGGTCATTATGGAAATCATTGGGGAGGCCTATGTTCAGCAGTGGACGTCCTGTGGCTGAATTATGATGATGAAGAATATTGTCATCTATGAAGTAAACGAACTCGTAAAAACATTAATGCAATTTGAAAATTAATTAACGCTAGAATATTTATGAGCACTTATTCCAGTGCAAATGTATGCAGCTAGAGATAACTGCTTTGTTTAAGACACACAGTGACCCAATTAAATGGCTGATCTACATACGGCTATTTGCTAACTGCTGTGAAACACGAAAGGTACACATTTTATTGATAACATTAATGTGTCCGGTCAAAATACTTTTTACTAAATGCATACAAAAATTGATACGGTCGTTTAAACATTTTTTAAGTTTTGTCTAATAAGAAAGAATAAGAAAACTTTAAGTAAAATGGGTTTCACGAATAAAAACCCCATGAAATTGTGACTTAAATCCGTTATTCTGCGATGTAGGGCACACTTTTTTTTGTTATTATTGTTTTTTTTAGTTTAGCGAGTCGCTTTTGTATTCGTTTTAAATCTCTTAAATAATATGTAATTTAAAAGAAAACCGTCTGAATGTTGTGCTTACCCTTAAGTGACATATATATCAGAAATGTTATCTTCATAAATGTTAATCATAAGAGTATAATATATATGTTGTTGGTATGCCATATAAATAAATAAATAAATAAATAAATGATAATTGAATGATCAAACGAACTTACCAAGTGAAGTTCGATCTAAATTATCCTGTTTTCGCCGAAGAGATTTAAGGTCCCTCCCAACCCGAAGATTTCTATATCTTCTTCCCTGGAGGTAAACGTCAATGTCATCTCTTCTCTAAATATAATGAGACCGCTCGGACACCGAGCCCACAGCGTGGTAGGGGTGGGGTTGCCCGCTCTTTTGTTTTTTACTACTACTACGCTGAATATTGTGTGCGGATTGGNCTACAGTTTGCAACAGTAGCCAGAAAAAAAATAAAAAAGATTTTTCTCCATACAAATTTTCTTGTCATATTTTTTTTAAGCATGAAAGGCTCGTTTTATCGAAAAATGCATAATGACAAATGTAGATCAGCATTCAAAATGCTATCCAAAACAATTTTTGTTTCGGTGAAATTATGACTTTCGATCGTATGTCCACCTATTTTTAAATTCAAACTACTGTGTGCCGCACGACTATTGTGTGAGCCCACCCGTAACCCAAGCTTATTTAGCTTAACACAAGGGGCTGGACGGGACTATTAGTAATTAATTTGTGCAATACAAAGTGCTTATAATCTTTAAAAAAATATTTTTATTGCTGTATATAACCTTCCTTTCGTATACTAATTTATGCGTCAGTGTCAAGTCTGCGATTTTTATTCTTTGATATTTTCGTAAAATGGCTGCCGCCGCGGTGACGCCTAGTAATTAACAAATTAAAATTAAATTAGTGTTTTAAAGTGCATAAATGTACAACTTAATGGTAAAGAGTCATTCCTTGATTTTTACTTAATATGTATCTGGAGTTATTTGAACAGTATTTTCGTCTATAGGATGGCATATTTCAAAAAACAAAACTGCACTCAAGCGTGTTGTCACAGCAACCGCTGAGCACATACTAATTGAATTTCGGTCCCTGGACCTATTTGCGTGCCAGAAACAGTCTACTTGACATGTCTTCTCTAGTACGTAGTACATTATAACTCAATGGGTTTAGGTTAGATTGTTATCTAACTACGCAGTTACGTCAGTTTATAATCTGACGGAATTCTCAATTTTAAGATGACAGATAACATACTAAAATGTATCTATGACTAACCATTTAAAAATTTTACTGAAATTGCCGTAGATGCTTTTTATTCTTAAGCAGATAGGTACGTTACATAATTTAATGAGACAAGATGTTATTTCTTTGTGCAACTTCGACGTCCCTGGAGATATTCCAGAACATTTCAAAACAAATTGTCAACTAGAAAATTCAAGGTGCAATATTGACATATAAAATAGAGAAGACTTTGTGCTTTGGAGAAACTCATTATCGTCTGCAGTCTGATACTTACTGACATATTTTACTAACTAACTGACTGGTTAAGTAATTTCACATACATAAACTCGCACTCACATCACACACAACACATCACACACTACACATCAAACACTACACGTCATACACTACACATCATACACTACACATTACTCACACACTGCTATTTTTGTTCTTAGTTAAATGTATACCAACTTAATGTTATTTGTTAATGTCTTTGTCTGAAACGCCCGTCTACTTAGAGGTGGGCGCTAACATCTGCGACACAGTCTTAGACTACTGCAAATGTTAACGCTAAAATGATTGTATAAAATTGTTTCTGGTTTCAAATAAAGATTTATTTATTTACTAGCGGCCGCCCGCGACTTCGTACGCGTGGAACCCGTTTTACCCCCTTCATCTATCTTACGCGGTTTAGATTTTTTCATACTAATGTTTTTTCCTGCTAACTCCCGTTCCCGTTGGAATTTCGCAATATCCTGTTGTAACTAAGCTTTAAGTTTACTAAGGTAGGTACCTGCATGCCAAATTTCAAGCGTCTATCTTAAGTGGCTTAGATTTTTTCATACAAATGTTTTTTCCCGCTAACTCCCGTTCCCGTAGGAATTTTGCAATATCCTGTTATAACTAAGCTTTAAGTTTACTAAGGTACCTGCTTGCTAAATTTCAAGCGTCTAACTTAAGCGGTTTAGATTTTTCATACAAAAGGATTTTCCCCATCAAAGGCGATACGTGTAGGTCTAGTACATCAATAATTATCGCTGGGTGATAGTTGTCCTCCACAATAATAGGTTGCAAACATTGTGATATTGAACACGGAACGCTACAAAAGCACAAGTCCAAAAGCCTTCCAGATGAGTTGCGAATCAAGTTGTATTGACACAAACCTAAGAGGTGCATGTGGTTGACAAATGTGTTAGCGCAATCAGAAACGACCTTAGGACCCACGCCCAAATTTATACATTCGTTGTGGTCATTCCAGGATATACACGGTAAGTTAAAATCACCCAACAGAATTACATTATCAGAAGGAAATGTGTCGAAGAGATGTTGTATACTTTTACCTATCTCTTCGTAACGAGATGCAAAAGTGCCTAAATCTGGTGGTATATAGATCAATATGATACGTAGTGTGTGACAAGAGTTAATCGCGCGCGCAGGTATAGATATGCATAATGACTCAGTGGCCCGTGCGCCCCGCCACTCGACGCACGACTCGGCTGCAAGCTCTCGCCGGGCGCACACCATTACTCCTCCGCCGCGCTTCTTATTAGTCATCTGGCAGTCACGGTCGCAACGAAACATGTCATACCTACTGTCACATAATTCTGAGTTAACTATGTCGTCTTGTAACCATGTCTCAGTAAGCAACAATATATCAAAATCGTTAGCCAGTACGTTGTTGTATAACTGCAAACATTTAGTTCGTAGGCCACGCACATTCTGATAGTAAAGAACTAGCTTTCTTTCATTTACTTTAATATAATTAACCATTTATGACAAGACAGACAAATAATCTCGTAATAAAAAATAAAATAAAAAATCGCTCATTATTAGTACGTTGTTCTAATTTTGTTTTATTTATCAGTGTAAATGCTTTAAGACAAATATAAAGGGTATAATTATTGCTTAGGATATTGAAGTCGGAAACATAACTAGCTAGGCTCAAAACAAATGTTCTTTGGCGGTATGTAATATTATAATAAATGATGGGGGCTACCGGGCTGAACACATCAAGTGAGCCCTCATTGTGCTGGTAAAGTATCGTTACAATGATTGGATTAAAGTGATCTTCACGTGAGAACAATTCATGATAATACGTTAATTTGATGCATCGAAAATAATTGTTTTCATACATGGAACTTATATATGTCTGAATGTTATATTTTACTGTAATAATGCATAGAAAATAAGGGTTATCTCTTTGTTTATTTAATAATAAATACTTTAAGTGATGGATCAGTTTATTAATATTTATAATTTGTGATGAAACTGTTATAGCGATAAAAATAGTATACCTGCATAACAATGAGTACAAACAGGATAACATAGTGCATGCGTGAAGTACTTCGTGATTTAAATAAAGACTAAACAAATGGCTTAAAAGTAAACAAAGGTTAATTGTCATGTTATTAGTTATTTTATAGACTATAAAAGTACTTCCCTTCAGTATCACAATACCTTTTTTGTAGATAAATAATTTTAAGAAAACTAGTCACTTAATTTTTCCTAGGTCCATGATATCTACAATATTTATTGCAGGCGATGTGTCGTTTTTTCGAACGAATATTTTCCCATTTCGGATCCAAACATGTTGGTAGGCAGCTCCTGCAGCAGTCTCGCGAGTTTTCGTATGAATCATTTTGAAGAAAGGAGTTAAATGCTCGTTTATGTATATTCTCCTCGGATCACTAGATGGTGTAAGTCCCAGATCATTAGTGGTAAGACCTTTCTTCCTTCGAATAGCCGATATAATTTTGTCCTTAATGAGTTGGCTGCTCATTTTTGCTATAATATTTTTTGGTGATTTTGCGTTGGGTAATTTCTTTGGAACACGATGAATGCTTACGATGTCGTCCTTCGATGCCTGGACGCCCAATATTTCGCAGATGGATAGTAATAATTGAGCGAGGTCCTCTTTATTGTTCTCCGGAACGCCAGCTAATATATGATCNTGAATGTTAAAATCTCGTTCCAAGTTGGCTATACGACGGTTATAGATATCGACCTCCTTACTTAGGCTTTTAACCTGAGTTATTTCCTTGGACATTTCTTGTGTTTTCGTTCGGAGATCATCAAAGGATTTAGTATGAAAGTTAAGTGATTGAGAAAGGTCTGTTAGTTCATGCCTAAACTGACTTTGTTGTTGAGTAATGTTATCCAACGTTTTAGTCACTGAACTCACTTGTGTTTTGATCTCAGTTATTTCCGATCTAATAGTACGCATGAAGTCACTGTTAGATTCTTTGATATCTTGCAAAATGGTCATCATTTCCTTTTTGAAGTCGACGAGGTCAGCCCTTTTGAGAATGTCTGAGTCAGGTTGTTTTCGCCTCCGTTGAGTAATTTGCGAGTTTGAGTCGGTAGCTTCACAATCCGCGTCTGTGTGTGAACCAGTAAAGGTAGACCCCTTGTGCGACTTAGAAGGCGATCGCTTAACGCTCATATTGAATGGTCGAGTCAATAAGGTATTTAGAATACGCCACAGATGTGAAAGGGACGAAAAATGCAAGCGTTCTTGTCCCGCGGAGGTGCACCGGAGTGAGGTATAATGTTCAACAGTTGTAATGGTAACAAGTCACTCAAACGCAGTTACACGACTTTTGACTCACTGACACTTTATTTAAGGACGACAATTGGGAACTTATTATTTAAATTATATCCGATACGCGCGACACACGTCTGTCCGCTCGAGAGGTGCGACGACGAAAAAAATATAATATGTTACGGTTAATGTGATAAATTGAAAATTATTAATAATAACCGGTTATTATTAATAATTTCCGTCAGTCGCGGTGAAAGTGATAAATTAATCACATTTAACAGTGATTATTTAATAATTCAACCTTAGTACTAACAAATTTCATAAAAGAGAACAACATCTTGTGTACGTGCTCATGTACAGCCAAACTTTTGAACGTTTTGATATCATATATTAGTATAATTTGGCATAATGAGTTTGGAATGTTTTTTGCATAATATTACTTTTCCATGATGCCTATAACATAATGTTTTGATTTAAAGTGAAAAATAGGTTAAGGTGCGGCGGGTAAGCCGCCTATTTAGTTTTATACACACATAAATGACCTCATATTAATCACATTTACCAAATCATGCGGTAATTATTCATAATAACCGGCGATTATTCATAATTTTCACATTTATCACTTTGACCGTAACAAATACATAAACTGTATGAAACAATTACCTACCTATGTTGGAAATTATATCATCACTGTATTATAGTCATGTTCGTATTTGGTGGGTTATGATAAAAAAATATAATTAACAATCTTTTCAACATTTTTAGGGTTCCGTACCTCAAAAGGAAAAAACGGAACCCTTATAGGACCACTTTTTTGTCCGTCTGTCCGTCCGTCTGTCAAGACCCTTTTTCTCAGGAACGCGTGGAGGTATGAAGCTGAAATTTAATTACTCAGGTCTACTGTCCCTTGAAGCTGTGAAAAAATCAAACTTCTAAGCCAACGCAATCAAAAGATACAGCCGTTTATGCCGCAAATTTTCGACACTTGCAAGGGAATCAAAACCTACAGGGTGCTTCCCGTGAACTCAGAATCTTGAAATTTGGTACGAAGCAACGTCTTATAGCATAGATAAAGGAAAAATTACGAAAACCATAAATTTTTAGTTACATCACATAATATATATTTTTTTAATAATTTTAAACTTACTACCCATTTCCTCGTAGAGGTATTAAATTGAAATTCATACCAAATACTCAGGTCTATAATACCTTTAAGCTGTAACAAGATCAAACTTCTATGTCAACGCAATCAAAAGAAACAGCAATTTAAGCTGCATATTTTGAAACTCGCAAGTACTCGCAAGGGAATCAAAACCTAAAGGGTACTTCCAGTCGACCTAGAATCTTGAAATTTGGCATGAAGCAACGTTTTATAGCACACATAAAGGAAAAATTACGAAAACATTAAATTTTTAGTTACATTACAAAATATATATTTTTTAATAAATATAAACTTATTACTTTTTTCCTCATGAACGCGTAGAGCTATCAAGTTGAAATTCATATCAAATACTTAGATCTAATTGCCTTTAAACCGTGAAAAAAAAAATTCTAAGTCAACGCAAAAACGCAAAAGTAGGTACAACCATTGATACCGCATATTTTGAAACTCGCAACTACACGCAAGGGAAAATACCATAGTTATGACTCGATTGTCGTAATGAACGAACTTTGTAAACCTTGCAGGTTTGTACGGAACCCACGGTGCGCGAGTCCGACTCGCACTTGGCCGGTTTTTCCGTTTAATACATTTCGTTCGTTCGTTTCAGCCGAAAGACGTCCACTGCTGGACAAATACATTTATTTCATGAGAATCCGAAACCCATTTTATATAAATTTTATAGCGATTTGACCCTTGTACTATGAAGTAATACCTAGTACTTATTGTGGTCTTTTATCTACATGTGTTTGTTTATTATATCCACAAATCATTATGCAGAATCGTAAAAGAGGCTGAAAATAAAAGACAAATTTAAAAACTTACCGAAACTCGACACGAAGTTAATGTAGGCGAGAATTAGCACCAAAGTTCCAACTGCAACAAAAAACATACAAATTAGATTTGTTGATGTATTATTTTCACTGGCTGATGAAGAAAGTTACAGTTATTATTATGATAAATCGCCAGTTTTATAGCTATTTAAAACTCATTTTATTTTTGCAAGTAGGCTCTTAAAAATCACTTTTACACGTCCCAGTGTTAACCCTACCACAACTTCGGGACAATAAATGGGCCAGTGCTGAGAAGTTTGTAAACTAAATATACTTTTAAAACTTTAAAATGTATGTAACGCATAGTATATAAGGCCCACTATCACGCTACATGTAATGTTTTCTATATTCAGTAAAACACTTCCATATTTTGTTTGAAGTCAGTATTTTCCACGACCATTAAAATTCTAAGTACACTAAATTGAATGAATCTTCAATAAGTACTTTCTCTACTTTTAACCTTTATCACATGCGTACCTCTCGCGAACATTTTGGCGGGAAACTTGGAGGAGGGACGCGTGCGTCTCCCCTGCCGACCGGATGGGCACTGAGCTTAAAGCTCCCGCAATCAGAAAGTTTGCTGGACATTGAGCTATGAAGCTTTGGAGGTCCGATTCCAAGTTTAAAAATAATTTGAGCTTATTGCAGGTTAATTGACTGTCATGTTGTATAGGATTGAATTTAGAAAACTACAGCAAACATATTTAGTTGGAGAGAGTAAATGAAAAGAACTACGAAAGCTTTTGCCTGCTGTGTATTATCTCTATAAAAAAACTGGTTTAATACTCATTAAAATTTATACCTAACTAAAAAAGCTAACGCTTAAGGTAGCAGTAAATTTCGTAGTCTCATAGCAACTACGGTATGTCGATACTATTGCTTTAGAAAATAGTTTTTGGTGCTTTATTGACATAAAGTTATCTTATGTGTTTCTGTAGTAATTGTTTCCACAAATATCTTGAGTTGGCTACTAGTTTTAAGCATAATATAAAATGCTACGATTTCGTAGCTCAATGGCGCTGAAAATTCGTAGCCCGTAGCAAGCCGGTGCGTGTGATAGAGACAATACCCACTTCTAATGTGTACTGTAACGATATTGAAATAGTCTGGTAGTGTTTATTAAAATTATTATGAAACCGCCGATTTATTTCACGGTTATGATGAATAAGAAATCATCTTCGAGGATTAATAAAATTCAATTGAATAATAAACTGTCCATTTCATAAATCAACCTAGCATTTACCGAATGTTTTCCGATATATTTAAACACTGATGGAACTGGCAGGACTTCAGACACCAACGTCAAAACCTTCAAGGCTAATAAGTAAAAAAAATACTTTGCTAAACTTTTCCAATATAGTTGCGCTATATTCAAATTGATTAATCCCTTTTCCAAATTGTCCATTATATCATTCAAAATACTCCACGTACCGACGTAAAGATTAAGTTATGTCCTCTCATTAGTACAGACACTGAAATGATTACGGCACAACGAAATGGACTAATGAATCACTGAAACTACAGAGAACCCGAAATAAACGATATTAAAACAGGATTACATCTCATTACTGGGACGGCAGCTGAAAACAGAACAATGGCGGCAAATGCCAATTTGTTGTGGCAAGTATGAAATCAATCATCCCGATTGGCTATTCAGGTCTTTTGTCTGCCTATTTCAATGGAGATTTTTCACGTGCCAATATTCAGAATTCAACCTTTACAATGTGCCACTCAAATTGATTGCAATTGTTCGGATTGTGCGTTCGCAACGGAATCAGAATTAATAAAAACAAAACTGCGTCTGCATACTGCTGCGCTGTTGCAAAATAATAGTTGGCTAGTAGGTACACTTTTTAGAGTGACTATAACAATCACTCATTGGGTCATGCATGGGTTAAATAATAAGCATAATATACAGGCGCTGACTCTTTTATAGGTTGTTGGTACAGCCATTTTTTCCCTGTACAGCAGTGGACTGCTGTAGATAGTGATGAAGATTTTCAACCTATATTTTCCAAGGTTTGGACCTACGAAAGAAAAAGAAGAAACAAATAAAAGAGCGTTATTATTCGTAACTTCACAGCTACTGGAAACAAGATACAATTTTCCGATAATAGTATTCAAGGAGAACTTTGTCTCGCCATAACTTAAATCGATTCCTAAAACATTGTATTACAATCCGCAATAACGTGACACTTGTAACTATGTGATCAACCACAAAGTCCCATCCGAATATCACGTGCCACGTCTGAACAGTAAAGCAAACTCGGTGTCGTTGAAAAATGAAATATTTTACGATCGTCGGTTCGGCAGGTCGTCAAAGTGACCGACGCCATCAGCCGATTGAACGGAAGGTGCCTATAAAGGTCGCCTCTCACCCATCTTACGTACAACTTTTGATCAAGGTATTTGAATTCGATGAAAAGCGTATTCTAGATCGATCAATCTTTTCCGTTCCATCCGTTAACTTTTCGCAGATGCTTAGTTTGGTTTTGCATATCAAAGATGAGTCTAAGACTCTAACCTGTAGGTTTTTATTGGAATGAATTAAAACTGAACTTAGTGAAGTATAATGATTTTGTGATTATTACTACTTCTACTACTAGACTACTACTATTTACATCAAAACAAATGTTTTTACTGCTACAACATGTTTCTTGCTCTACTTATATCAACCAACCAAGAGATGGAATTTAAATGCAACGAAGCAGACATGTGAGCGACTACCCTAACAAAGAAGACACTGAAAACTTTGTTTAAAAAGTAAGCTCCACTTAAGAGCTTATAAGGATCGGTGATATTTTGCTTTGAATATTACTCGGAGCAGGTGAGGCGAAGTTTGCATTAGTTTCCGCTCGAGACTTGGCTCTAATGTATTTTAGAAACTGACCAAGTTTGAGCAAGAGAAG